TCGTCTTTCACTCTAAGTCACTAATCTTACTCTACTCCTTTAAAAATATAATTATTTCGATCCAACAAAAAAGAAGAAGATAAGTTTATATAAAAAAAAATAACCTATAACATAAAACCAATTAACCTAACTATAAAAAAACAACTTCATCCAAATTATACAACTATTATTAAGAAAATGTAACAATGCTATTATTAAAGCAAAGTTCAATTCAGGATTAAAATGGGGAGCTTAATAAGGCATGTGTAAGGAATTAAGGAAATAACAAACTTCAATGTGGAGATTCCTGTATTTTGTCTTTATGGAAACTTGCAGTTTTTTTATTTTGTTTCATCAAAAACAATTTTTTTTATTTAAAAGAATCTAAAATTGTACAGTATTTAATTTAACATGTCCTTTTACTGAGAAAGAAAAGTACATACTTTTAAAAGTATAGTGTCAATTTATCAAACCATTTGACGATCCAGCTGCAACTTACCCTGTACTCAATACCATTTCGTTTTTTTTCTTTTTTTTTGGAAAATGAAATTAATGTACATGATATTATTACCACTCATTGATGATTGAACGCGTTTTCTTTGGGTTGCCTATTATTAATTCCATTAGTTATTTTGTCAGATAGGTTGATTAATTAAGTTACTAGTTTGGTCCAGAAGTTTCCTGAATATAAACAAACAAGAGAATATATTACTCGTATAGTATAATCGATTTATATCCAATTAATTCTTACTTCCTCCGTTTTCTTTTTCATAGTCATTTAAGGTTTTGTACGGGATTTAAGAAAATCATTGATATTTTAGTTTTTAAAAATATTTATTACTTATTTTCTTATTTTACCCTTTATTTATTTATTTATTTATTTAGACTGTTGAACTACTCCATTAAATAGTTGTCCTTTTTTATATAATTTTTTTATAATATTTTGTTGGGAATATATTGTTCTTATAAATGCACATTAACTTTATATGAGTAGTTGGAGAAAAATTAGGTAAACATTAAAAATAAATACACACATTGTTCAGGAAACATGTATTAATTATCAAGGGTAAAAATGGAAGAAAAAAATTAATAACACATTGATTTTAGTAATATGATAATGAAAAAAAATAACAAATTCTGACAAAACGACTATGAAAAAAAAAACGGAGGGAGTAAATTATAAATTTAAGTAATCATTTTGGAGAGGGAGATAGTGGGACTTTCATTTTAGTCATTCCTCTTCTTTTTTTCCCCTTAACCATGATATATTTGCGAAATATTCATCGTAAGAAACATTGAATAATTTCCGCTGAAATCGTTTTCTTAATTAATTTACTTTTCTTATTATTTTTATATTATAATCTCTATATATGAAATTGATATATTTTTTTTTATAACTTTACATGTTTAAAATTATGATAATTACTAGCAAGCGGAAAGATGCTTTGTACCTCTATTGAAAAATGAAAATAAAAAATAAAATATATAAGTGAACATTTATTATTAATAGATTGGATAGTTAATATTCTATGTACTCATTTTATTTCATATATCATCTTTAAGAAATAAGTGAAAAAAATATTGAAATGAAAAGTATAATTGTTTTATTACAAAAACAAGTATTCTATTATAAATAAGTTATCACCTTTCAAATTTAAATTAAATCACCTATATCACTTTAAACTATAATAATAATAATAATTATTATTATTATTATTTATAAATTTAAATTAAATTCTATAAAATATTTATTATTATAATTACTGTTTTATTTTCAAGTTCAAATTAAATTTTATTTTGAATTCTAAAATTTATAATTTTATCGTTATAATTATAATATTTCTAAATTTGAATAAAACTAAATGTTATGTTTGTATAAATTTGATTTTTTCATAGAATATAATACATTTTTTTTAATTTATATAATTAAATAATTTCATATAAAATATTTATTTTATGCATTTTTGAGATTCGAAATGTGAATAAGTAAATATAAACAAGAGTTTAAAGAACATTTTTCTTTCTTCTATAACTACTATCACAAACAGTTCTTTCCAATTCATCAAAAAAACTATCACAAACGATTATAGTTTTGAGCACAATTTTTTTTTCCAGAAAATAGTTTTGAGCACTTTATTACTATTTTTATTTAGTAAAAATTTTAAAGGAAAGGAAATGGATCTCCAAACTAAAGTACGGAAAATTTTCGATTTCACTTAAATAAAGTTAACTAAAACTTGGTTGGAGTAATACAAGGTTATAAATTTAAACTTTATTGCCTTCATTTTAATCTTTCCAACTAATAAAAAGAAAAACTCATCACTTATTTTTTAAATGTATAACTTATGACTTATTAAATATGTAAAACCTTACTATTTTACTTTTCCGTCCATTTTTGGGACATAGTACAAATGTAAAAATAAGATAAGAAATTGTCAAAAATAATTTAAAAAATAAACCTAAACTCTGACAACAATATTTAATCACTAAGTCAACAAGTTTTCTAAATACATATATAAAAATGATAATATAAACTTAAACTGAATCCAAAATTTCACACATATTTGCTATTGTTAAATAAAAAATTGAATATGTATTAACAATAGTTTTTATAAATTAACACTAATAATATTATTACTATATTTACATTATAATATATTATTATTTTTCACAGTATTTTAAAGTTATTAAATTATATTTTCACAGAAAAATTATATAACTTTAATTCATGTATAAAAGTATATATATTTCTTACTAGTAAATAAACAAAAAAAATAGTATTATTAATAAACATATTAATATATTTTTAGATACACTAATAATTTAATAAATATAAATTAGATACTTTTATAAAAATATAATATGTTAAACATGATATAAATATATTAAATGAATGTTAATTAGAAATATGATATAAATATAAATTATTAATTTATAAAATAATATACTAATAAAGTCATTGATAAAATTAATATTATTTTATCAATGATATTATTATTACTAATTATATATTTTTATTTAATAATAGTAAATGTATATTTAAATTGAGTTTTTATTATATATAGTAAAAATACTTATATGAAAAAAATATAAGAATAACTAATAATAACTCATAAATTAAAATATTATAAATAAAATTACCATGTATCACTACTATTGTGATTATCTCTATTATTGTTGTTATAGTTATCATTGTAACTATTACTAGTATCATTTGACAATCGCTATATTACTATCATAACTGTCGTTATTGATGATGTAGCAATAATGATGACTATGGGGACTGTCGTTATTGATGATGTAGCAATAATGATGACTATGGGGACTGTCGTTATTGATGATGTAGCAATAATGATGACTATGGGGACTGTCGTTATTGATGATGTAGCAATAATGATGACTATGGGGGACTGCGACAATGGTGGTAATGAGGATGTGACAATGATAACAGTAACAGATGGTTACGATGACGACAATAACAATGACAATAATAAATACAGTCACGAGAATGATGGTATGTATAGCTTTATCTATAATTTTTTTAATCTAAATCATTTTATTTTTATTTAAAGATTGTTACTAAGAACTTTAAACATAAGTAATATTCTCACATTATAACTGTATTTATAAATTAGTTATATATATATATATATATATATTATTCTTATCGTACAATAAATCATTAAAAAAAATATGGATAAATACTTGTGTTTTCATTGGTGACAAATAAATAATTTTTTTAAAGATGTTCACATAGGTTTGATTTATGGTTTTATATATATATATATAAATTTTATTATAAAAAAATTGACTTTTGTAATCTATACACTTAAAAACTAGTGATCATGTAGATTAATTGATATAGGTATAAGGTTGTTTCAATTGAACAAGAAGTACAAGAGTTTGAATTTTAGGTATATAACCGTGTTAAATACTTATTATAGAGTGAGTTTTATTGTTTATAGTAAGTTTACTTAATTTTAACGGGATTATCTATAATAAAAATACATATGATTTCTAATATATATATATATATATATATTTATTTATTTGAAGACATTAGACCAAAAACAGTCTTAAATTAATAATATATAAAAGTTATTAATTAAATTGCACTTTAGTAGGATTTTTAATCCATGATTTTGGTTTCTTATTTTAATTATGCCTGTTTTATCATTCAATTTTAAGGTATTCATAATTTTAACTCAACAGTCAAATTTATAATATATATATATATATATATATATATATATAATATTTTGTTCAAATTTAGAAAAGTTGTTTAGTTATGTTAAATAACTTTTCTAAATTCAAGCAAAGTAAAAATTTAATGATATTTCATGTTGTTATCTTATTAATAATGAATAGGAAAATTGATTTTAAACATTAGTTTAGTTTTTAATATTAAAATAAATATTAATTTTATGTTCTACTCAATATTTAGTCTATTATCATCGAAAAACTTAAACTAATATTTAAATTTTTGGAAAATTAACTGGAATACTTTTTTTTTACAGCATTAACCGGAATACTTGATATGTATAGATTTTGAAATATTATTAATCTAAAAATTATTTGGATTGTTTTGAACAGTTTCGACATTTATAGACCATCTCCAACACTTATACATATTCTATTTTATCAAAAAAGGAATGAGGGTAAATTAATTTTGACCATTGGAAATAGTTGAGTTGGCAGCCAACTCTAGGCAACAACAATTTATCTAAATTACAGTTATGTAACTAAAATAGGACTCAACAACATGTGCAGAATTGAGAAGAGATGGGGGTTAAATATTATGCTGTCTTGTGTCTTTCGTTGGAGACGACGAGTTCCCTCTCTCAATCCTCTCGTGTTTTCTGTGTGTCACCGAGCATACAGAAAACACGAGAACCGAACAATCAAACTTTGTTATGTACTGTGTATGGGTATGTTTGTTTTAATATTGTTTATCAACCTCAACATGCTAATCGAATATTTATGAATCAACCCCAACAACATGCATTACAATGTGTTCACAGGCACCGAATGTTGTTTTCCTTCTCGTTCCCATATTCTTCAAACATTTGAGGAAAATTTTATCATTCACGTTTGGATTTTGAACAAAAATAGAGACACGCACGCTCGGTGATTGACGAAAACAGAGAAGATGAAAGGTTTTATTCAAACCTGCCTATCATCCATGACAGAATGGAACGGGTATGATGTTACATCATTAAAAGTAAATAACCGCTTATCAATTTGTTAAAAAAAAAAAAAGAATTATGCAAGCCAGCCGATGCTGGGAATTAGTAGTGATTTTAAAATAAATAAAAATTAAAAGCATTATTGAAATTTGAAAGCAATAATGAAAAGATATGTTTGTGGTTGAATTGGGTGGGGGATGGAGAAATGACACCTCTTTTGTAAATAACGGTCACAGGAGAGGGCATTTTTGACTTTTCGCAGCGCACCCCACACGATGGCAATGGCAAACAAAAGCTTTTTGAAAGTAAAAATTCGGCCCTCCAACTCAATTTCCTCGTTGGACTTTCGTCCTTTCTTTCTTTGCCTGCGCGCTGCGGAAAATACTGCAGTCAGAGTCAGAGACTCTTCGAGCACGCATTTATTCATTATTCTTATTTTATTATAATAATAATAATAATAATAATAATAATAATAATGAAGAATAGAGAATAAATAAACAGATTCCTTATTTGGTTTAAAATTTTTGTGCAGAGTCCAAAGGAGAGGCCAACCGGAGGGTTTGCCTCGTCAGAGAAGAAAAGAACCAAGGCGTCGTCGGCGCACAGCGAGAGCGAGGATGGGTTCGCCGTCGACGGTGGCTGACACCAACAAGATAGCGGTGAGGTCGTCGATTGTGGAGTCCCTTCGCGGCTGCGGTCTCTCCGGCATCCGGATTGACAAGGACGAGTTGAAGAAGCAGCTCACCATGCCTCAGTACCTGCGCTACGCAATGCGCGATTCAATTCGTCTCAAGGACCCCGCCGCCGGCGAGTCACGCTACATCAACCGCAACGACGGCGAGGACTCCGCCGCTCCGCCCTGTCCCATGGTTGTCTTCATCAATCCCCGCAGCGGCGGCCGCCACGGTCCCGCTCTCAAGGAGAGGCTCCAGCAACTCATGAGTGAGGAGCAGGTACTACTCCCTTTCCCCGCTTCGTCTTCAAATTTCTTTGTTGCACGCGCTTTTCAGTCGACGTTAGTCCGAATCAAATGTCGCTGAACAGAGGAAGTCGTGAAATTATTTGGATCTGGTGAGAGAGAGGCTTTAACTACTGTGGTTGAGAAGTTAATCGTCTGAATATGAGAGACGAAGTATCGTATCGAAGATTCTACTAGTGCTAGTTATAAACACTGCAATTGCTTTGCTAATGTTGCATATACATGTAGTTTCCAATCTCGCGCGTGTGTGAAATTAAAGTTACTTTCATGAATTGCTGCTGTTTGTGATTTTGTCGTTCGAATTTTTACTTCTGTTATTATTTCTATAAAACTTTGTTCGTTTTACCATGTCGTGATCGTTGTTTGGTGGTATGTGCAGGTTTTTGACCTTTCAGATGTGAAGCCTCATGAGTTTGTACGGTATGGATTGAGTTGCCTGGAGATGTTGGCAGGTCTCGGTGATTCTTGTGCCAAAGAAACTCGTGAAAGAATCAGGGTTATGGTATGTTGATAGAAGAACTGGAACGTGCATTACAATTCACATCGTAGAGTACAGTGTTTAATTGCACTAGTTGTCGTGATTCTTAGTTTCTTAGACCTCATATTATATATATAAAAAATGATTTTTAGAACCCTAAATATTATTCAGTACCTGGCGAGAGAGAAAAAAAGAAAGTAAAATATCGGTAGGATACATGATAGGAGGAGAGAGATTGAAAATAAATGAGAGGTGTTGGTGGAGTGTTTAAAAAAAAAATTGTGTCTAAATATATTGTTACTCTATCTTTAATTATATGACAAACTTGGCTCCTGTGTTTCGTTTCTTCCGGTTGTGCATACTTAATTTAATAAATTGGGAAATTATTAGAAAGATTAGTTAATTTGTTGTATTTTTTCTATCTGGATAAAATTGAAATAGAGGAAGCGTGATTGACAAGTGGATGGTTATGTAGTTATTGCTTTAATTTTTTAAATGAAAAATATGATTGTATGTCAAGATGCATGTCAAACATGATGGGAATAATAATACGTACTAGATTCAAATATTTGATACTGTATTACTAGATTAGCAATCGCATTGGATGAATGAAACTGGTTGATTGGCAGGTTGCTGGAGGTGATGGTACAGTTGGTTGGGTATTAGGATGTCTTACAGAACTTCGCACTCACGACCGAGAGCCAGTTCCTCCGGTTGGGATCATACCACTGGGGACAGGCAATGACCTGTCTAGGAGTTTTAATTGGGTAAGCCTCATGCTTAGAAATTATGGGTTAACTGAATCTTAGGTCCACTATGCTAATCTGTCTTTCTGATATTTATCAGGGTGGGTCATTTCCGTTTGCATGGAGGTCTGCTATTAAGAGAACTCTACAAAGGGCTACTACTGGGCAAGTTAACCATTTGGATAGGTATTATGTACTTCTCTTTCAGTTTATACACTTTTCCTTTACCGAGTTAATTTTGACAGTGGATGTGAATTCACTGTATTAAATAAGTTTGGCTTTCAGCTTTTGCCATTATTAGTTTCATGGAAAGCATGAGGACCATGATTTTTTAATTTCATTCTGCATCTTCTATGGATGGACTTCTAAGAAATAAGAATTGTAGAATTTCAGTTTTATACATAGATATACTTTTATTCACTTCTCTCTGCTTTATTGCTCATATATTAATTTGGTTTAATTTTCTTTTCCGTGGCAGTTGGCGGGTTTCACTTTCTATGCCAGAAGGCACAAAGGTGAAGCTACCACATTGTTTGAAGCATACAGAAGAGCTCACTCTTGATCAGGTTGTGGGTCTGGTTTCTCATATCATTTAACTTGTTTTAGCACTGTATATAAATTAGTTAGGCATGTTTTGTGCTGACAATGTTTCCTTGAGCAGAGTGTTTGTTCATATATAGGTAGCAAAGGATTAGGTTAGTTGTAATCTTTGGTGATGTTTCAAGTTTTTCATGAAATCACTGCTACTTACCAAAATAACGAATATCAAACAGTTTTTTTCATGTGCATATGTTGAATCACTAGGGCATGATTATTCTATAAAATTTAATCATAATATACTTTTATAAAGCATGTGCGGATGTGCCCCCATTATTTATTATTATTATTATTATTATTATTATTATTATTATTATTATTACTTATTTATATAATCAGCCTTGTCAAGGTCTTTCTAGAGTGTCACTCCGATTGCATTTTATTTTGTACATGAATGGTTGTTTCTGGTACACCCAACTTGCTATGAAGTGTTAAATTTGGAACAGGCTGCTAAGTATTTGATTCAGCATGCAACTTATTACAATTAGTTTTTAAAATTTTTCTTAATTCTCACTGTTCAGTTTATTTGCATAATTTTGTAATGTACAAAGTTTCTTGTGTGTGTGCTCTGCAGGGTTTTGAAATTAAGGGAAAACTACCAGAGAAAGTTGCAAGTTATGAAGGCGTGTACTATAATTACTTCAGCATAGGTACTTTAATATGTAAATCAATAGTTTCATATTGGTGCGTAACATGAATATTTCTGGAGTTGGTATCATCTTGTCTATTTTAGACTTTTAGTGCCTTAGATGGTTTGTTAAGATTAATCATTGAGATTTTAGAATGAAGTTAGTACTTTACATGAGATGTCAGTCGGATGAGTATGACACATTCTGAAGCCAAATTGCTCCCTGCATGGTATTGATGTCCTAGAGAGTATTTCAAGAATGGAGTTACTGACTTATCATTCATGCTGCTCATATTTTTAATGTCTGAAGTTTGCCTTTTGGGCATACAACTATTTTGTGCAACAATGGCTTCAGAAGCTTAAGCAAGATATGACCATGCCATTGGGATTGCCTCACTGAAGTGAATTGAGAATTCCTTTATACCTGATATTTTATGATTGCTTTGGTTTTCCTGACCTGTTTATGTGTGTGCATATTATGTGCGTATGTATAATATACAAACTTAAAATGCTACAACTTTTTTGGATCACGGTGTTGATAGATGGAAACGTTTTCAGATACCTCAATTGAATCTCTTATCTGTATTTCTGAGCATTCATAGAATATATCCTGTTATATTTTACAGGAATGGATGCCCAAGTGGCTTATGGCTTCCATCATCTACGCGATGAAAAACCTTACCTTGCAAGTGGTCCAATTTCAAATAAGGTATTATGAATCTGTGGAGCTGAGTAATATGTTTTATAAATTAAGTCATTCTTGCTAGCTTGCTTCAGTTTACTTAATTTGATGTTACAATTTATATAAGGAAGGTAATCTATATTTTTTTTTTCTTTTTGCAGCACACTGTGTTTGACATTAACATTTTAGCATAGGTTAACAGTTTAATAGTTACCATGATCATTGATCAATCCTTTCCGTTTCTTTTTGGCTGCAGATTATATACTCAGGTTACAGTTGCACACAAGGCTGGTTTTTCACACCTTGCGTAAGTGATCCAGGTCTAAGGTAAGATATGTAGGCTAAAGCAGTTTCATCCTTGTGATAAGTCAGAAAGAGCAAATTGCTCGTGTGATAATTTTGCTTCTTGTTTTTTCACCTTATTCTTAATTAGAAAAGATTATTTTATCATTGCAACAAGAAATCAAGAATTGCTCTTTTCTTATTGTAAAGAATTAGAAATATGTGACAAATGCTGTGATTACTTTTACTTCTTTAAATTCTCTGCATAGTTGTCAATATCACACTAAAGCGGCATAGTGGTGTGTAGCAGCCCCTGACCATTATATGCACTGCATCAGCGTCCCAGTTCACTGTAGATAGCTCATAGCGATATTCCACAGCGCTATAGCACCACTATGCTGATGGTGTGCAAATTCCTGGGAATGGCCTCCAATATTAACCTTAGAGAGGCATTTTATGGAGGTAATTTTGGGTAAAAAAGGATTTCAGCTTGTGGAAAACCCCTTACAAAGTTCATAGCTATCATGCCTCACTCAGTCACTTGTCTCCTCTGCTAACTTGTGACTACTGTACGACCCCTGTGCGACCAGAAGTTTAGCATGCATTTTGGATGCAGTGGCTAAGGAAGATTTGCTGAAAACTTTAATGGTGAAAGTTATATGGCTAAAACCAGAAGTATGATGTATATAAAGGCATTAGAGAATATCGGGTTTACCTTCAGCATTCTTGTTCATTTTCTCTTTCAAAAAGGACTTGAGAAATAGTTACTTTAAAAAGCTTTTGCTTTGCTGCTATCTCTCTCTTCGTTTACTTTTTCCTAAATGTTGTCTCTCTAAAGTGTGTTTGTGTTTGCACGTTTTTATGTGTATTTTGCCTAAAACAAATTCTTTATGGATATA